AGCTTCCAGCGGCAGCGGGGCCGTCCGTCCGGCCCGCCCGTTGTCCTGCCGCCTTCCCGGAATGCGGCTGGAACGCTACGCTGGACTCATTCCGAGGGTCTCTCCCCGTCTCTCTCGCACTCGCGGGGCGTGCTGTGAGGGTGCGAGAGAGACGGAGCGACGGACGCAGCGCGCGGAACCAGCGGGCCTAAATCAGGGCTTGGTGGGACGTGAGTGATGCGCCCCTGACACAGGTATTCATTCGCGTGGCGCGGGTTCGAATACCACCCGGGTCGCTCTGTTGTTGCTGCTTTTGTTGTTGTTGTTGTTGTTGTTGTTGTTGCTGGGTTTACAAGTGCAGGCTAATGCCCGGGCTGCTGGAGCCACGCTGAATCAGACTGGCCCTCCCGTTTCCCTCGGGATCCCCCGCCGGCCTCGGACCGTGGGGCCGTGGGGCCGTGGGGTGGGGCCGTGCTCTGATGCATGGTCAGGCCGCGCCAGCCACGCCCGGCCAAAAGGCTTTCCAGAGGGTTTACCAGCACAGCCCTCTCCAGGAGGCCGCCAAATTCGGGGCCGCGCAACGAACGCGCGCTCCGAGAGTCAATGGACTTCGGCCGGCCGCGGTGGCGGTTCCGTCGCGGCGCTGACGGCGCACAGTGGATTCGCCAGAAGACCGGCGCAGGGGGTCAAAATTCTAGACGCGTTTTGAGCTCCAGAGTCGCGAAATTGGACTCTAACCGGGCGTGTGACCTCGCCAACGGATTGCTCTCCGATCGAGCAATCCATTGGTGGGGTCACACGTTCGGTCCGAGTCCCATTTAGCGACTCTGGAGCTCGAAACGCGTCTGGAGTTTTGGCCGCCTCCACCGGTCATCTGGCAAATCCACTGCGCGGCGCCAGGCGCCCTTTCCTCTCCTCGCTCGCTGCCGCGTAGACAACTGCCTCCTCCCTCCCCCCCTCCCCAATGACACCCATTAAACACGTGGCTACGAGAAAGGGCGTCGGAGGCAAGCAGGCGAGGCCAAGGGGATCCCCACCCCCTTCCCTGGGGGCCGGGCCGTCGGGCCGGCCAGGGCAAGGAAAAAGACAAGGTCTGTGCTATTAGTCCCGACGGCTATGTAGAGCGGGGCGCCTCGTGGGGGGGGGGCGTAAGGGAGAGTTACAGCAGCACTGAGTCAACCCACTGTACGTCCGTCCGTCTGCTGAATCGCAGCGACGACTTAATCTTTCACTGTGGAGGGAGAATCCTTTGGAGCAACACTTGAGGTTCTGCTTTGCAATCAGTTATTATTTTTTCTTAAATTTCTCCTTGGGCAGTGAAATATTTTTTCTAGCCATTTCTGCTCTTATTCCGCTGTTGTCATGACATGTTTACGACGGCAAGCTGTTTTCGCCGCTTTTTCGTCTTGTCGTGTAAAGTCGGTTCGGCTTACGCTCGCTCCGCTGGGAGTGCGCGCCGCGCGGCCGATACATAAATCAGACGAGGAATGACAATGCTTCGGACGGGCTGGCTCGGAGAAGAGAGAGGGAGAGTGAAAGAGAGTGCGAGAGAGGAAGAGAGAGAGAGAGAGAGAGGGAGAGAGAGAGAGAGAGAGAGAGAGAGAGAGAGCGCATGGCTTCCAGCACTCCCAGCACGGCTCCAGTACTGCTCTCTGCAGATGGGAGAGTGCTGCCGGAGAAAGAGGCTGACGGGGGCGGCTTGACCTGACATGTCACTACGTCACTACGTCACCAAGGCTTGGCCGCCAGCCCCGCCGGCCCAGCCGGCCCAGCACGCCCAGCACCATGCAAGATGGGTACAGTATTCGGACGGTGAGAGGGAGAGAGAGAGAGTGAGTGCGTGTACTCGTGTGTGTGTGTGTGTGTGTGTGTGGTGTGTGCGTGTGTGGTGTGTGCGTGTGTGTGCGTGTGTGTGTGTCAAAAAAGGAAAAGAGAGTCGGTACGTGTGGCCGGAAGACTCCCGCAACACGTGGACGTCCCCCCTGAGGGACTGGATACACTGGTAAAACTAAAGCGTTACTCTATGCTTGAGTCAAGCATAAAGTTACGCTTGAAGAAGTTACGCTTGAAATCAAACATACTCTGGAAATTCCCCCATGCATTTAGATAGGGGAAATCTTGGCGGATAAGCCTGTTACGCTTGATTTCAAGCGTAAACTGATTACGCTTGAAAACAGTGGGTAATACTACGCTTTAGTTTTACCAGTGTATGGTCTAGTCGGCTTGCTTTTTGCCGAGACTCGCGCGGCGGGTTCGCGGCGCCGAAAAACACGGAAGAGGTAAGCAGCTTGAAAGCCGGAAAGCCTCGGAAAAGCCTGGAAAGGTCGGCGGAAAGTGGAGGCGCGAAACTGGGAGTGCGGGAAAGCTGGAAATGCGGATCGGAAAAGCGGCGTAAATAAGGCCGGCGCGAATGAGGCGGAAATGGAAATCTGGGGCGCGGGAAAGCCGGAAATGGGAGGCCGGGCCGCGGGCCCGAGGAACAGAAGGCGGGAAAGCCGGAGGCAGAGCCCTGAGGGCAGAGCCAGCAGAGCCACTGCTGCAGGGACCGGCCGGGCCACGGGGCAGCGCGGCAGCAGACTGATGCTCCTCCGGCGGCCAAATCACCTCTCACCCCTCAAAGTCAACGCGATGATAGGGGGCCGGCCGCCCAGGGCCCAGGGAGGGCCGTCGCTCTGTCTCTCTCGCACTCCTACGGGACGCCCCATGAGTGCGAGAGAGACGTGCACTCTCTCCCAGGGGGGGCGAGCACGCCCGTGCAGTCACGGCCGCCACCGGTGTGGCGCCGTGTGGCGCCGCCAACCCCGGCAGTGCGTCGCCACGGCGCCACAACCACGAGCACGCAAACTTCTCCCTGGTGGGCTCGGGGCGGCGGGGCCAGGGCGGGGCTGAGCTTATGCCGGACGGGCGAGTGAATCGTGAATCCGCTGTGACGGAGGAGGCGCGCGGATCTCGGCATGGCGCCGTCGCGTCGCATTGCGTCGCGCCGCGGGACGCACAGTGGGCCAGAAGACCGGTGGAGGCGGACAAAACTCCAGACGCGTTTTGAGCTCCAGAGTCTCTAAATGGGACTCGAACCGAACGTGTGACCCCACCAATGGATTGCTCTCCGAACGAGGAATCCGTTGGTGGGGTCACACGTCCGGTTCGAGTCCTGTTTAGCGACTCTGCAGCTCAAAACGCGTCTAGAGTTTTGTCCGCCTCCGCCGGTCTTCTGGCCCACTGTGGAACGCCATCGCTCCATCAATTCCATCTGCGCGATCAGGTATTCCCGGCGAAACGGCGCCGAGGGCGTCGCGACGCGCTCCCGTCTCCGTCGCACTCACGCGTGTCCCGTAGGCGTGCGAGAGAGACGGAGCGACGAAGCGAGGCGTCTGAATGAAGCGGCGCCGTGTCACACCTCGGCCGGAGCGAACGAAAGGAAGAGAGAATCGACTTCGCGAGGCGCGATTGTTTGGTTTGCAGTGCGATGGGAACGGAGAGAAAGTATTCGTTTTTCCCCCCGGCACCCACTTGACTTCACTGGCTTGGATTTGACTCTCGTTTACAATGCAAAGCGCCGGTGTCCGAGGACGGCCAAAAAGAAGGAAGTCGATGAATGAAACTGAATAGACTGCTCCAGTATGTAACAGGCTACTGCAGCGTGTATATAGATGGGGGTGGTCCGATCTGTGTGTGTGTGTGTGAGAGAGAGAGAAAGAGAGAGAGAGAGAGAGAGAGAGAGAGAGAGAGAGAGAGAGAGCCATAGCGAGCGCGTTAGGCCCTACATGTGTTTTCGGTCTATCGAGCCCTTCGCGTCTCTGCAGACGGTTCGGGTGCGAAATGCCCCTCATTTGCATCCAAGGGATCCCCCCTCGCTCTCCGGGCCTAGGGCCTGCTGACGACGTCCGTGTTGGGGGCGACGGGGTGCTGCGGTGGGGCGTTCCCGGGGCGTTCCCGGGGCGGGGCGGGGCGGGGAACGCCCCCGCGGCACTGGCTGACATGAAACCGGTTCCACGGTCGCCTCCTCTGCCTCCGTGGCGGCCCGCGCAATTTATCGTTGTGTTTACAGTGCCAAAGCCTTTCGCTGGAGCCAGGCCCCGGCCCGGCCGGAGGGTTTGCGGCGGGCGGCAGCCCGATCCGGGTTCGAATACTGGCTCGACGCGTTTTATTTTTTTGGCCGTGGTTGCTGGTCGGCCTTTGGTGTCGAGACGCTCTGTGTTGTGCCGACCGTCGCCTGGTCGCTCCACCCCTCCCAGGCGTCGGCCTCGCCCGGCCTCGCCCTCCACGTCTAGTCACAAAGGCATACAGGTACGCCAGCCAGCCCTGAGGGCGAGGGCGGCGGCCTGCCCTGCGCGGCCCTACCGGGCCCTACGTAGCCCTGCCGCCGGCACCGCACAGTGGGCCAGAAGACCGGTGGAGGCGGCCAAAACTAAAGACGCGTTTTGAGCTCCAGAGTCGCTGAATGGGACTCGAACCGAACGTGTGACCCCACCAATGGATTGCTCTCCGAACGAGGAATCCATTGATGGGGTCACACGTTCGGTTCGAGTCTCATTTAGCGACTCTGGAGCTCAAAACGCGTCTTGAGTTTTGGCCGCCTCCACCGGTCTTCTGGCCCACTGTGCCCTGCCGGCGGCACCGGGCCTGCTCTCGCTCGGCCCTCCGTATGGGCAGCCCTTTGTGTCCGGCGGGTGGGGTGCGCGTGTGTGAGCGAGAGAGACAGACTGCTGTTTGTGGGCTCAGTGATTATGTGTGCATAGGCAGTGCCTTGCAGTGCCTTTGCGGTCGCTTGGTCGCTTTGCGGCGCCCAGTGTAGGTACGTGGGCGAGGCTAGGCGAGGCACCCAATCGCCGGCCGGCTTTGGCGTTCGGCTTGCCTCGGCTTGCCTTTCCAGTGTGTCAACACGATCGGGCCGGCCCCGCTTCGTCCTGGAGGATCGTCGCTCTGTCTCACTCGCGCCCCGGCAGGACGCCCTGCGAGTGTGAGAGAGACACGCGCACTTTTTGGGCCAGCTCGCTGACGGACTTGTTTGTGTGTTGCAGATGACGCGGTCGCGGAGATAGGCGCGTGCCGCCGCGTGCCGCGCTGTGCTGCGAGGCGGCGAGGCACCCAGGCGCCATGGAGGGGCTGTGGGTGGTGGCGCTGCTGGCGGTGTGCGCCGCGGTGCAGGCGCTGCAGGCACTGCCGCCCCAGGACCATGACCCCCACGTCGACCCCCACGTCGACCCCCACGTCCTGCCGGCCGCCGACGACCGCCAGAACGAGCTCAAGGGGGACGTCCACGACGTGCACGCCGTGCACGCGGACGTGGCGGACAAGGGCAAGACCGCCCTCAACGACCTGGACGCCAAGACGGACACGGACTCGGCCGACGTGAGCAGCAGCAGCAGTAGCGACTCCTCGTCGGCGTCCGTCTCGGCGGAGGCGGCGCCGGACGCCAAGGACGAGGCCGTCGCCCTGCATGACGCCCTGCGCGAAGCCGGCCAAGTGACGGAGGGGGCGGAGGAAGCCCCGGACTCAGACAGCGCCGCCGCCGACCACGCCAAGCAATCGGACACCGCCGCGGCACCGCCGGACACGTCGGGGTCCGCCTCGGCGTCGTCGTCGTCGTCGGCGTCCTCGTCCACGGAAACGGAAGAGCAGGCGAGCGAGGCCAGCGCCGCCGCCAAGCAGGCCGCCATCGAGGACTTCGTGGAGGCGCCCAAGGCCGTCGTCAAGGAGGTGCCCGTCGACGCCATGACGGAGGACACCGACGCCGCCATCGAGGAGGACGTCTCCACCGAGTCCATGGTACGTAGTTAGTTTGCGAGTGCGTCCGTCTGGCCCCTGCTCGTCAAGGGCCCCTCGACGGCAGGCAAGGCGCGTGCAGAGCAGTGCAGTGCAGAGCGACAAGCATGTCTTTGCGGCAGCCGAGGCGGCAGCCCCTCCCGCTGAGTCAGTGTTTGATTGGGGCGGTAGAGCGAGACGGCCTGATTGGAGTGGGCAGCGCGGCAGCCTGCGTCTGGAGGACCCTCCGGCCTTGCTGGACGGCCCGGCCGGACTCGAGGAGTTTGGAGCAGGGTGCGTCGGGGCCTCCGTCGGGGATGAGCCGGCCAGAGCCTGGACGGCGCTGGATCCTGGAGGGATCCTGGAGGGTTTGCTGCCGGCGCTGGAAGGCTGGGACACGCGCTGGGTGTTTCGTGTTTCCCAGAGTCTTAAGGGGTTATTCGTGGCGTGGCGGCTTGCTACACATTTTCCGAGTTGCCCGGCAGTAGTGCTATTCCGCGCTGTGCTCCGCCAGAGAGAGAGAGAGAGAGAGAGAGAGAGAGCGAGCGAGAGAGAGAGAGAGGGAAGGGAGAGAGAGAGAGAGAGAGAGAGAGAGAGAGAAGAGAGAGAGAGAGAGAGAGAGGGAAAGGGAGGGAGGGGAGAGAGAGAGAGAGAGAGAGAAAAGAGAGGAGGGAGAGAGAGCGAGAGGGAGGGAGAGAGGGAGGGAGGGGGATAGAGAGAGAGAGAGAGAGAGAGAGAGAGAGAGAAGCTGGAAGTGTCCCGGTGGCCTGCACCGTGGCGTGCTTCGCGCTTCGCTGCGCCGTGCCCGAGGCAGGGCGCGAGGGCTGGCAGGCAGGCAAGCAGGCAGGCCGGCCGCGCCCCTTGAGGCTCACTTGCCACCGCTTGTTTGATCGTGTTACGGGTTATTGACCCGCGTGAGGGGACTCTCTTTCTCTCTCTCTCCCTCGCTCTCCCCGGCCAGGCCGGCTCGTCAAGGGGATTGCAGTTCGCCCTGGCCGCGCCGCCCGCGCCCAGGAGAACCAATATGAGGTGCGTCCATCTCCTGGCCGCGCTTACGCGCTGCCACCGCCGCCTTGGCCCAGCAGGCTCGCTCTCTCTCTCTCTCTCCTCTCTCTCTCTCTCCCTCTCCCTCTCTCTCTCTCTCTCTCTCTCTCTCTTCCTCTCCCTCTCCCTCTTCTCTCTCTCTCTCCTCTTTTCTCTCTCTCTCTCTTCCCTCTCTCCCTCTCTCTCTCTCTCTCTCTCTCTCTCTCTCTCTCTCTCTCTCTCACTTCCACGGGACGCGCCAAGAGTGCGAGAGGGAGAGAGAGTGAAAGGGGAGGAAAGGGAAAAGAGAGAGAGAGAGAGAGAGAGAGAGACCCGAGGGCAACAACTTTGTCAAATTTGTACACCGTTATTTCAAATTCACGTTATTTCACGTTTTTTCATTGTTATTCCAACGTTATTTCAAGGGTATTTCAACGTTATTCGCTTATTTCGTGTTATTTCACGTTATTTTGCGCTATTCACCGTTATTTCACGCTATTTCACGCTTATTTTGGCGTTATTTCAACGTTATTTACGTTATTCACCGTTATTCACGTATTTCACGGAAAATGTACACCTAAATTCAAGTTGGTTGGCCCTCGGAGAGACCCAAAACTCGGAATCGGCCCAAAGCCCGTGAGCGCCGCGGTGGCGCTGGCTTTGGAGGAAGCGCCCACTTTGTGCAGCCACCCAGTCCAGCCAGCCAGCCCAGCGCAGCGTTACAGTCCGTTCAAGGCTGGCCGAAGGGCCGAGCGATTCCAAAGAGTCGTTTCGTCGCTCTGTCTCTCTCGCACCCCGACTCACCACCGCGCGCGCGACAGAGACAGCGCGACGCAACGACTCTTCGGAAGCAGCTTGCTGCTGGCCGCGCTGCGGTGCCCGGTCCGTAAATAAAGAATGGCACCGATGTGAACACGACCGCCCCTTCCGCCCCCCGCCGCCCCCCGCGCTGGCAACGCGGCGACGGCCCCCCGGAGCTGGCCGCCCCCGCCGCCCCCGCCGTGGGGCGGCAATCTACCGCCCCCAGCGAGCGCCAGTTTAAACCCCGCTAGCCTATGACCTGCCCGGGCAGCCGCCCAGCCCGCAGTGGACTCATTCCGAGGGGGACTTTCGTCGCTCCGTCTCTCTCGCACCGATGCGGAACGCCCCACGAGTGCAAGAGAGACGGCGCGACGGATGCGCTCTGCGGAGTCGGCTCGCCGCCCCACAGTGGGCCAGAAGACCGGTGGAGGCGGCCAAAACTCTAGACGCGTTTTGAGCTCCAGAGTCGCTAAACAGGCCTCGAACCGAACGTGTGACCCCACCAATGAATTCCTCGTTCGGAGAGCAATCCATTGGTGGGGTCTCACGTTCGGTTCGAGTCCTGTTCAGTGACTCTGGAGCTCAAAACGCGTCTAGAGTTTTGGCCGCCTCCACCGGTCTTCTGGCCCACTGTGCGCCCCGCCCTCGACACCGGAGCTAAAGCAAGCCGAAGTGCAGCGTGCTGAAGGAGGAAGGAGGGCGCGGCGAGACGCGAGGCGAGGCGAAGCGAGGCGCGGGCACCGCTTCACGCGCAACCACTCACATCCATTCGCACTCCGACTCGGGGGGAGGATAGTGTGAGGCGAGGCGGAGTGGATCCGCGGCCCGCGGCAGCTATCGGGGGCGTCTAGGCGTCTAGGCGGCGCGGCCGGGCTCACCTGCGGCGGCCCGATTCTCCGTCTCTCTCACTCTCTCGCACTCACGGCGCGTCCCGTCGCAGGGGTGAGAGAGACAGAGCTCTGCTCGCTGTCAGCCTGCCGGAGTGAGGAGAGTGAGTTCGGAGAGGAAGACTGGGTTTTTTGTCTGGGGCGGAAAGACCGAAGGGGCGGGGATCGAACCGCCAACCTGAGCGTCTCGGCGCCGCTGCAACGCTCCTCAAGTTCGGTGCGTGATGCTCCACATGGATTCCGGAAGTTCCATCTCTCTCTCTATCTCTCTCTCGGCAAGTTTGTCGCGCTGTGTTACGCGTGTAGCTCCCACGATAAAGCCCCTTAAATCAGTTTAGATCGGCCGCGACCGCGGAGGGCCCCGGCACGGCATGGCCGTGCCAGCGCCGCCAGCGGGAAGCAGGCTGGGCTGTCGTCGCGCCCCCCCCCCTTCTCCCCTCTCTCTCTCTCTCGGGCCCCCCCCCGGGGGGGGGGGGCCCCCATTGGTTGGTAAAAAAGGTCAAACCCCCCCCTCACCCCTGCAGGGGGGGAGAGGGGGAAAAGGGGGGGGAAAAAGGGGGGGTGAGGGAAAAAGGGGCCCCCCCGGTAGGGGGGGCTTTTTCGGGGGGCCCTGCCAAGGGGACGCGCGGGTTTAAAAGAGGCGAGGCCTTCCGCGAGGCTAGGCGAGGCGGCGCCCGGCGCGAGGCTAGACTCGTAAAGCGGGGTCTGTGACGAGCGGAATTCAATTGGGTCGTATAACGACTGCTGCTCCGGAACCCCGCTTAGGATTCGGCCCATTCGGCCGGGCGGCGCCGGGCGGTCAGGGCACTGTGGGTTTCCAGTTCGCTTAGGCCCCGCCAGAGGCGCCACCTGCACCGAAGCGCCGAGCCAGCAAGCCCAATAGAATTATGCTTTTCGACGCGGTGGCCGGTTGCGCGCCGGAAAAATACACGAGGCTCTCCGGCGCGATGTCCAAGCAGTGTTCGATTGGTCGATTGCATTCGAGTCGGGGTTCGAGATTCGAGTGTAGGACGCCGCGCGCTGTGCCTAATGACGCGGCGCATCGCATCGCCGAGACGCAAGACGGAGCAATGCGAAGCAAGGCGAAGTAAGGCGGAGCGCGATGCCCACTTTGGTACTTAGTACTTACTCTGCTAAGTTGCTAATTTCCCCCGGGAAGTCTGAATGTTTGCCTGCCTGCTGGCTGCCTGCCGGCGTGCGGCGTGTGCCCCAATCTAATCCATTAAAAGTTTGCCATCCGCCGGTCGCGGTTCGCGCGGTGTCTCGCGGCGCGTCGCGGCCCAGGACGCCGTCGAGGCCGCGGTGCGCCGAGTGCACGGTGTCCTGGTCCTGGCGGCCCGGCCGGCCGGTGAGAAATAAGGCCAGCAGCGGCAGGGAAGAAAGGAAAAAATGGCGCGGGCGGCGTGATGAAGTGCGTGGATTTGGCGGGGAGTCTTCCCAGTGTGGCAGCTGGAGGGCCCCAGGGCCCCCAGGGGGGGCCACGGCGCCCCGCGGCGGACCGGGCGCGTCTTGTCTTGTCAGGGTTGACCGAACCCCGGTGGGATTTTTATTTATTTGTCTTCTTCTGTCTTTGGCAGGGCGGTGAGGAGGCGAGCCGCACCGAGGACCCGTTTTGGGGCCAGGCCGAGGGCCAGGCCGAGGCCCAGGCCAGCACCGAGAGGGGCGTGCTGCCGGACAGCGAGGAGGCTGTCAGCGAGTCCGAGGACACGGACGAGGACGACGAGGATGACGAGGAGGACGGCCTGGAGGACGACGACGAGGAGGAGGCCCTGCAAGAGAACGGCGGGGTGGTCGCGCCCGTGGTGGCCAGAACGACCACCACGGTGGCTTCCACGACGTCCACGGCCACAAGCACCGAGGCAACGACCACCCCGACCTCCACCACCACGACCGCAGCGGCGACCACCACCACATCCTCGACGTCCACGACGGCCGCCACCACCACCTCCACCACGAGCACCACCACGCCGCGGCAGGAGACGACCACGAAGACGACGGTCTCGACCACGACGGCCGGCCCCGTGACGAGCACCGCGAAGACACTCTGGAAAACACACGGAAAGGTGAGGCCATGCCCGGGAACGGAAACGAAGTCGTGGCCGCCGCGCCCCGAGCGCGAATCCAAGTCCAAGTCGAAGCCCACCGCGCCGCGCCTCCCCGCGCGTCCACTTTGACCGCCATTTGTCCGACCGCACGGCCTGCCGGCCTGGCGGCGTCGGCTCCGGGTCAGCGTGTTCAGCCTGACCCACTTCGCCGCCACCAGTAGCATCGAGAGGGAGGGGAGGGGAGGGCGTCACCTGTTTCACCGCAGTGTGTCTGCTGGGACAGGGCGAAGGGGTGAGTCCGCCCGCCGCGCCGCCCCGCCCCACACCGCGACCTGGGGTGCAAACGTTCCCTCGTGAAATTATAATAGCGCTAATGCTGCATCCCGCCCGTCCCTGGTGGTGGTTTTTATTCGCTGACTCTGCAGCAGGCGACCGTGGCGTGGCGGGGTGGGGCGTGGCGGGGCGGCCTGTTTGCCCTGCCCGCCTTGAGATGGGGGTGCACAGTGGGCCAGAAGCCGGTGGAGGCGGCCAAAACCCCGGACGCGTTTTGAGCTCCAGAGTCGCTAAATGGGACTCGAACCGAACGTGTGACCCCACCAATGGATTGCTCTCCGAACGAGGAATCCATCGGTGGGGTCACACGCTCGCTTCGAGTCCTGTTTAGCGACTCTGGAGCTCAAAACGCGTCTAGAGTTTTGGCCGCCTCCACCGGCTTCTGGCCCACTGTGGGGTGCGCCCTGCGCCGCCCCTGCCGCCTCAGCCGCGCGCGTCGCCTCCAAGCAGGCCAGCAGGCTGCACCACACGTGGCGCTTGCCCACCGTTAGCCGCCCTCGTCATGTCGCCTTTATTTCTTCACTCCGTCCGTGAAGTATTTCTCTCTCTGGCGCGGGCCGAGTGTTGTACGTACGCCGCTTGGTGCGTGAGTCGGAGACTCGGAGACGGCGGTCGAACCCTCGTCGCCAGTTTACTTGTTCGCCGTCCTCGTTAACTCTGGGCGGAGCGCCGAGCGCAGAGCATGCTCGGCCTTGATTCGCCTCCAGCCAGCCGCGAGCCTCGGTGGGGCGGGGCGCGGCGGTCTGGTCGAGGTGCTCAAATTGGAAGAATGAACATCGGCCGGAAATTCCCCTCCCCCCTCCCCTCCCCTCCGTCGCCAGCGATTCGTCATTAATTGCGTCAGCGACTCGGCCGTGCCCAGCCCCCCTCGCCTCCGCGGCCGTGTCGCCGTGTGCCCGTGTTCCCCATGGTTCGCCGGAATACCAAATCGCCGTCGCGTCTTTTGTATGCCCGTTATTTCCGCGCGAGTCCCTCCGGCCTTTCAGCCCTCATTTGTTTTTGTTGTTTGCGCCCCGCCCCCGCCCGCGCGGCCCGGGGCGCTGATTTTTGTTTTTGTTGTAATTATCGCGTGTAACGGAGGCCGCGCGTGGGTGTGCGTTTCATGTCCGGTGTCCCACTCCCTCACCCTCTGCCACGCCGTCGTGCCCGCGTCGTGTGTGACATACTTGTCAGCCTGCTTATCGCGTTACCCTGTGGGTACACTGTAGGTCTGGTCGTCGTTGGCCGCCCGGGAAGCACATCGCCCACGGCGACGCCCCCTCCCCCTCCCCCTCCCCTTGCCGTCCAGGGGTAGTCGCCTCCTAGTGGCCCCGTTTCTAAGCCCCTCCTCCCCCCCCATTCCTAGAACGTTACGCACACATCATCAGATACCCTTGTTTGCTCATGTTTAATGCATCCTGGTGGCAAGGAAATGAGGCAGCATTGGGGCACTAATGCTAAAGTGGCGACACGGAGCCGGTGGTGGCCGCGGCACGGCGCCGCGCCGCGGTGCACACCGTCGAGGCCCTGGCCGTGGACCAGTAGCCGCCGAGAGAGCCGCCGCGGCCGTAGGGGTGGCCGTCAAACCAGAACCCCGCCGCGGCCGCCGCGGCGGAGGGGAGCGGACGGAGGGAGGGAGGGAGGCTGCGCCAAGGCTGTTCCGTTCCCGGCGAAGAAAGTCGTCCCACGCCTACGCCGCCGCCTCCGCCGCCTCCGCCGCCTCTGCCGCCTCCGCCGCCGCAGGGGAGCAGTGGTCACTTTGCCGGCCGTTCGCTGGCTGCCTGGTGGCTGCCTGGTGGCTGCCTGGCCCGGGGGCGGGAAAGGGGGCGGGCAGGGAAGTCACCGCCCGCAGGTAAAGTGTGAAGGGGCTGTAAAAACAGGGAATACGAGCGGGGGGGGGGGGCGTAGGGAACCGGTCTTGAACAAACAGCGGGTGGCCGGGGCGGCGGGCGCGGCAGAGGGCCGGCGGCGGAGTTAGCCCACTTCTTTCAGGTACGGGGCGGGGCGGGTCGGACAATGAAAAGCAAATATATGGATGCGCGTGCGCTGGGCGGCTGGCCGCGCACAGTGGGCCAGAAGACCGGCGCAGCGGCCAAAACTCCAGACGCGTTTTGAGCTTCAGAGTCGCTAAATAGCACTCGAAACGTTCGTGTGACCCCATCAATGGATTGCTCTCCGAACGAGGAATCCATTGATGGGGCCACACGTTCGCTTTGAGTCCTGTTCAGCTACTCTTCAGCTCAAAACGCGTCTTGAGTTTTGGCCACTGCGCCGGTCTTCTGGCCCACTGTGCCGCGCTGGGTGGGCTCACCGGGGCGGTGTGCGTTTCGTTTCCCTAACGGACCTGCTCGTTGCTTTAGCAGTGTCAACAAGTGGGGCTCCGGGGATGTGGGTAGACATGGTGTGATCATTTCAAGTTGAACGATGTTTTTTTTTTCCGGCGGGTTGCGCGGCCCTGCTGCCGCGGACCGACGCTTCGGACTGCTTGTCCGAGATGCTAATTGATTCCCCTCTGCTTCCAGAAGGTGGTGGTGGTGCCGCCGCCGACGGCGTCCCGGCCGATGGCCGCCGCCCCCGCCCCCGGCATGCGCAGCGACGAGCCGCGCGGCCGCTACCAGCCGCCGCCGTTCCGCTTCACCAAGGACGTGTACACCGTGACGGTGCCGGAGAACTCCCCGGGCCGCACGCTGCTCACGCCCGCCGAGCGCGTGGGCATCCCCCTGGCCGCGCCCACGCCGCCCACGTCCGCCAGTGTGGCCACGCCCGAGGTGCGCTTCCGCATCGTGTCCGGCGACCGGGACCGCTTCTTCAAGGCGGAGGAGCGCGTCGTCGGCGACTTCTGCTTCCTGCAGCTGCGGACGCGCGCCGGCAACACGGACGTGCTGAACCGCGAGCGGCGCGACAAGTACACGCTCGTGGTGCGCGCCAACGGCCACTACGTCGGCAACGTGTCCGAGGAGGACGCCGGGCGCGCGCTCGAGGCCAACACGACGGTGCAGGTGCGCGTGCTGGACGTCAACGACCTCACGCCGCTCTTCTACCCCACCGAGTACGACGTGAAGGTCGCCGAGGACACGCCGCCCAACCACAGCGTGGCCAAGGTGGCCGCCGAGGACGCCGACCTGGGCCCCAACGGCGAGGTGAGCCTAGACACTTTTCGCGTTGAATGCTCTTTTGGTAAGGGCCGCCACTGTAACCGCCTGCTCCTCCGCCAGGTGTACTACTCCCTCAAGGACTGGGCCGCCGAGCAGTGGTCCGTGCACCCGTCCACGGGGGTGGTGTCTCTGACCCGGCCGCTGCTGCTGAGCGAGCAGACGACGCACGAGCTGACGGTGGTGGCGCGCGACCGCGGCGTGCACGCGCACGCGGCCAGCCAGGCCAGCCAGGCGCGCGTGCGCGTGCGCGTGGAGCGCGTCAACCTGCACGCGCCCGAGATCCACGTGCGCCCGCTGCCGGAGATCATCGAGCACGCGCACGGGGACATCTACGCCATCGTCAGGGTCACCGACCGGTGAGTGCCTTCGGCCTTTCGGCGAGCGTGCGGAGTGCACAGTGGGCCAGAAGACCGGTGGAGGCGGCCAAAACTCTAGACGCGTTTCGAGTTCCAGAGTCGCTGAATGGGACTCGAACCGAGCCTACGACCCCACCAATGGGTTGCTCTCCGTACGAGGAATCCATTGTTGGGGTCACACGTTTAGTTGGAGGCCTGTTTAGCCACTCTGGAGCTCAAAACGAGTGTATAGTTTTGGCCGCCTCCACCGGTCTTCTGGCCCACTGTGGAGTGTGGAGTCTGCTGGCCCTCTCTGACCTTCCCGTTCCTCCCCCAGGGACCGCGGCCTCCACGGCCAGATCCGCGACCTGGAGATCGTGGAGGGCGACCCCGACGGCCACTTCCGGGTGGTAGCGACCGGCAACCCGGGCGAGTACAACATCGCCGTGCTGCACCTGCTGGACCGCGAGGCCGCGCCGTCCGGGTACAACCTGACGCTGCGCGCCTCGGACCGCGGCACGCCCATGCACAGCACGTACCGCACCGTGGCCGTGCGCCTGGCCGACCTCAACGACAACCCGCCCGTCTTCGACCGCCAGGTCTACGACGTGGAGGTGTCGGAGATCGCGCCCGTCAACACGCCCATCACCAGGATCAAGGTCACGGACGCCGACTCGGGCAAGAACGCGCAGGTAAGGGGTCTCCTTGACCACGGCCGGGGTGCCTGGCGCAGGCTGGCGCTCAGTGGGCCAGAAGACCGGTGGAGTTGGCCAAAACTCAAGACGCGTTTTGAGCTCCAGAGTCGCTAAATGGGAGTCGAACCGAACGTGTGACCCCACCAATGGATTGCTCTCCGAACGAGGAATCCATTGGTGGGGTCACACGTTCGGTTCGAGTCCCATTAAGCGACGCTGGAGCTCAAAACGCGTCTAGAGTTCTGGCCGCCTCCACCGGTCTTCCGGCCCACTGTGTGGCGCGCTGGAGGCGCGAGGGCCCAGCGGACAGGCCGATGCCAGCGGCGCCACCTCGCGGCCCTGTCGGCCCCGCGCTGCAACAGTAATGAGAAAGTTGGCCGCCAGAGAGTTTGTCTCGGTCTCGAGGCAGAGCCGGCAGAGCGAAGGCGAGGCGCGCCTTACTTAATTAATAGTGCACCGAAGCCTCGAAGCCTCTGTGACACGTTAACAAGTTTTGTAATAGACCCACTGGGTGGGCGCTGGCGGGGCTGCCGCAGCACGCGGAGGGCTGCGGTGGGCGGGGCGGCCGGGTCGTCACGGTGGCCGCCGAGTCCGCCCGTCGAGCTCGCAACAACGTCCGCCGCGCCGCGCCACGCCCTATAACTAGGGGAGAGTTTGGTCGGTAATCCACTTTGCCAGTCTCTGGCCGCGGCGACGTGTGTCCGTCCCCCGCGTCCCCCGGGCCGACGACACCGCCGGCACCGCCCCGGACTGCCTCTAGTACTTCTCCCTTCTCCTTCTTCTTCTTCTTCTTCGTCTTCCACTCCTTCTTCCTCTAAATTTATCTTACCTCTTCTTACTCGTTCTTACTTCTTACGGAACGAGCGTTCGGAATCGGGCGCCGGGGAGAGAGGACGACGACATCGCGTCGCGGAAGTCCCCGCTTTGTCCCCGCATGCGAGGCAAGGCGCGCGGCACGCCAGAGGAAGTCAAGCCAGCCAGGTCCCCGGGGGTGGCGGTGGCGTGGCGCTCAGGGCGCACAGTGGGCCAGAAGACCGGTGGAGGCGGTCAAAGCTCCAAACGCGTTTTGAGCTCCAGAGTCGCTAAACAGGACTCGAACTGAACGTGTGACCCCACCAATGGATTCCTCGTTCGGAGAGCGATCCATTGGTGGGGTCACTCGTCCGGTTCGAGTCCCACTTAGCGACTCTGGGGCTCAAAACGCGTCTGAAACTTTGTCCGCCTCCACCGGTCTTCTGGCCCTCTGTGGGGCGTGCACCTGAGCGCGGCGGCGGGCAGGGCGGGCTGCCCCGGGCTGCCCGGATGGGATTAGGTCGAGGGGGTTGATGGGGTTGATGCTCGCGGCCCGCGCTGTGATTCCCCTTTCCCGTGTATGCCGGCGGGGCCCGCGCAGCACAGCGCATAGGGGCCTTTGGGCCTTTTCCCTTATTTTTGTGTTCTTTGTTTATTATACCTTTTACTTATTTTCCCGCTGCTTTTCCCCCCCGCCCTTTTTATTTTGGTCGTGGATCTCTTTATTTTCCGGGGGGAAAAAGATTATAGCAGCAGCAATTTGCCGGCCGTGTTTAGGAGTGACGTAGTGGCCCGGCGGGAGCACGCGCGCGCGTGTGTGCGTGTGTGTGTGTGCGTGGGAGGGAGAGAGTGGTTACCGGGCCCTCTCGCGTCGAGAGCCGCAATGCGCGCGGCGTACTCCGTGGCACTCCACGGCGCTCTGTATGGCAGCCCACTTCGCGTTTCTCACTTAAATCGCAGTCTCCAACGTATACTGGTGCGCACGTACGTTTACCAGCCATTCGCACTCTGGAAAAAATAATGCTAACGAAGTCACCTCGGCGATGACAATAATAAACCATCCCTTGCTCTGCAGCTGGAGCCTGACAGCTTAACGGAACGGTTGAACAGGTTGAGCGTTTCCAGGAAGTAATCTTGATGGATCGTTGTTTCGAAACATTTTTTTTGCTGCTGGCTATTTTTGCCCCCCTTTTACATGTATCTCCAGTTCCTGGAATCGAACAACGGTTCGGCTGAGCGGTCGCGGTGAGCGGTTCGTGTCTATCTGTGCCCCGCTGTCCTGTCGGTGGCCCCGCGCCGCCCCCGCGCTGTCAACTCCCTAAGCCCCTGCCCCGCCCCCTCCCCCTCCCCCGCCCCGCAGTCGGGGGTAATCGGGGCCCTTTCAGAGCCAGCCGAGCAAGCAGCGAAGCAGCGCTGGGCGCATCTGTGTGTCCCTTGCGGCCTGCCCGGCCTGCCTGTCTAGGCGGCCCGGGCTGACGCGCTTGACTGCCCCCCCCCCCCCCCCCGGCCGAACGCAACGTGATCCTGGTCAGCCCGTCCGGATCCCTTTCCCAGTGTATGCGTAATGAGGGTCCGGGAGAGGCACCCGGTTCATGGCCTGCACGGCCTCCACGGCCTTCACGGCGAGGAAGGCCGACGGACGCCGAAGGTCCGATGAGGAAATGTCGGACTGTGTCGGACGGACTCCGGCAAGGGCAAACCCCGGGGGACCGGTGGAACCGCGCCGCACAGTGGATTTGCCAGAAGACCGGTGGAGGCGGTTGGAATCCCGTGTACACGCTTTGAGCTCCAGTGTCGCTAAATGGGACTTGAACCGAACGTGTGACCCCACCAACGGGTTGCTCTCCGAAAGAGGAATCCATTGGTGGGGTCACACGTTCGGTTCGAGTCCCATTTAGCGACTCTGGAGTTGAAAACGCGCCGTGTACTAGCGGGATTCCGATCTTCCCGACCGGACCGAAGGGGTGCGAGAGAGACAGAGCGACGCAGCGCGGTTCGGAATCAGCCCGCCAAGAGGCAAAGCCGCGGCAAGCCATTCCGTGTTGTGACAACTGTAACTGTGTCGCGCGGTGCGCGCCGCGGGCCGAGTAAATCACCCTGCAGTCGCATTCCGAAGCGGCGTCGCTCCGTCTCTCTCGCACTCGTGGGCCGGCCCGTAGGGGTGCGAAAGAGAGAGAGAGAGAGAGAGAGAGAGAGAGAGAGAGAGAGAGAGAGAGAGAGAGAGAGAGAGAGAGAGAGAGAGAGAAAGCGCGCCGTTCGGAATCGGGCCGCCGCCGGCCGGCTCTTGAATTGGTCCAGATTTATGTCGGGAAGGCGGTTAGGGTTGGCGTTTGTGCTTGCGTCGCGGAACTCGCTTTGCAGCCCGCGCGGCGCGGCGCACTCAAGGAGCTCCAGCCAGGAGGGGAGGAACTTGGGCAATTGCCCTCTTTGGTGGAGGGCTAGCAGCGGTAGCGGTGTTCTGGTCGCCAAGCCGCGGTTTGCGCGCCGTGGCCGGCCGGGCCTTCCCTATGCAGGCTGGCTCCGAACGTCGGCCCGTCTCTCTCGCACCTGCCCGGGCCCGACGGGGCCCGACGGGGCGCGCTGCGAGTGCGAGAGAGACGGAGAGCTCCGTTCGGCATCGGCCTGCGCCTCTTCTCCTCCTCGGTTCAAAGGTTCCAGGGCGTCGCCGGAACTTGGCAATTTCCCGCCAAAACCGCGGCGCGCCAAAGCCAAGGTGTGCCAGGGCCTCGACGGCCTGGGCGGCCGACCGCACGGCCGCGCGGTACAGGCGGCGCCAAGACAAATCGGCTGCGGAAAAAAAAACGTCACACTGAAAAAACTGGCTCAATGTATTTTACTGAACGCGTTCAGTAAGGCTCATTTCAATAGAATGTACTGCTCGCGCAGTGACTGCTACGGAACGACGTCTGCGGACGTCTGGTAGATTTTACTGAGCGGCTCAGTAAGCACCGTTCAGTAAATGCTATTGCAGTCCAGTGGACGCTACAAAGCGCTGTTCCGTCGCGCTCCCCACCACTTGCCTCCTCACCCCCGATGGGGCCCTGGCTCCACCCGCACGCTTCCCCCACCCCTGCTTCTCTGGAGACGCACTGGCCGGGGCCGCTCAGACGCAGATGTGCACGTGTACCGTCTCTGGAGGCGGGGTCCTCAACGCGCAGGCATGGCCGAGTGGTACGGCGGTTGCGCTGTGATCGGGCGGCCCGGGTTCAACTCCGGGTCGCTGCCATCACAGAGAGGCAAGTCATACGACTAAAGTGAGAGGCAGAGGGGTACGGCGGAGACGGTGCAATGAGCGGGGGGTGGGGGTTGCGATAGACGAGGGGATGGGGGCAAAATACTTTTGCTGGGCAACACAATCTACTGAACAGGCCAGTACATCGTACTACACCGGAGCAGTGCGATCTAATGAACGCGCCAGTAGCGTCCACTGAACGGGTCGATGCGATTTACTGAACGGACCAGTAGGATGCACTGAGCGGCCTGTTCAGTAGAATCTATTGGCAGGTCTTCACGTCGAAAATTCACTGAGCCGTTCAGTAAAATTTATTATCATAACAGTAAATTCTATTGAAAATTTTTTTCAGTGCAGGAATCTGCGCCAATGGAAAACTTGGAGCGCGCGGCCGTTGGAGCTGGCGGTGTTGGTAGTAATTGGCGGTGTGGTGGCGCTTGCTGCCGCGAGGTTGCCTGCCTGCTCGTGATTTGGCGGTCGCAATCAATTTTGAAGGGAAAAAGCAGCGCTCGGTCCAGCAGGTGGCCCTCAGCCTCGCCTTCAGCGGCCCAGCGCCCGTACGGTGGGCCAGAAGACTGGTGGAGGCGGCCGAAACTCCTGACGCGTTTTGAGCTCCAGAGTCGCTAAATGGGCCTCGAACCGAACGTGTGACCCCACCATTGGGTTGCTCTCCGATCGAGGAATCCATTGGTGGGGTAACGCTCGCTTCGAGTCCTGCTTAGCGACTCTGGAGCTCAAAACGCGTCTAGAGTTTTGGCCGCCTCCACCGGTCTTCTGGCCCACTGTGGCCCGTCGGGCAGGCCGACCTGGGCTCCAGGCCAGCCTCGGGGCAGCCCCGGGGCAGCTCCCTCCGTCGGGGTGCCTTTGGTGACGGGGCCATTCGTTTCGCTGGCAGTATGAGAAAGTGCGCGGTCAGGCCGCCAGCAGCGCGCGGAGGGCGGCGAACCAAGCGAGGGCAATTGCGGCGGGTTTT